TTCCCCCCCCACCCCCCCCCCCGCCAAAAAAAAAAAACTCGACGAGCCTTCTCGACGAGCGCGTTACGCGCGCGTTTATGTTTTCAGTTGCTTTTAGACGACAGAGAAGCGACCCTGTAGACCGCGGTCATCATTTTCCGAAGGGGCATCAAGCGCGTTTCTGCACAGCTTCAGTCACACAAGGTCAGCTTGCTCGACGGATCTTTGTGAACATGCCGTACGCCCTCTTCCAGAAGCATCTTGTTTAAATACGAGGTGGGCAGCATACATAAGCGCCTCCCGCCCCCCTCCCCGAAAAGCCCCGCAGGTCTGCCTCTTAAACCGGCGGTTTGAGCCTTGTCCTGTCCTGTCAGGCGAGGAGCTGCGTCGTGACTGACACTAATGAGTCCCACTCGGTGCCAACGTGTGCGTGAGTGTAAATGTGAGTGCGTGCTTTCAGTAATTAGATTTTGCCCCTCACTTTTCATAATGAGACATGGAAATGGGCTTGCATGAAACATGCGGTGAACCCGAGACAACCCAGTACAGGCCTTCTCGGTTTACGACGATCCGACCTGACATACGACATCGTGAGATTACGAATGGTGGGCGCTGTCACGAGGTCCGTACGGTCAATTACGGCCGTAGTTACTGGTTTTCGTTTATTTCATGTTTATGGTGTTTCAAGTTTTTTTTTCACACAAGTATTTGGGTCAAGGGTAAGCAACATGGCACCAGGTACCCCCAAAGACCAAATAAGTTCCCCGTGGACCTGTTCTAAAATTAGGTCATCGTGCGTGGGACATTGTGATTTACTCGGAATGTTGTTCAAGTGATGATTTGAAAATATAATCCCTTGCAGAGACTATAGAAGTCGTGGAGCATATTGATATTTATCTTTTTCACAGCTGGTGGTCAATATTGTGAGAACATCTTAACATGATCAGGGTACTTACATGCACTGTATTTGGGTCAAGGGTAAGCAACATGGCACCAGGTTCCCCCAAAGACCAAATAAGTTCCCCAGTGGACCTGTTCTAAAATTAGGTCATCGTGCGTGGGACATTGTGATTTACTCGGAATGTTGTTCAAGTGATGATTTGAAAATATAATCCCTTGCAGAGACTATAGAAGTCGTGGAGCATATTGATATTTATCTTTTTCACAGCTGGTGGTCAATATTGTGAGAACATCTTAACATGATCAGGGTACTTACATGCACTACATACAGAAGAGCCAGGTCATTGCTTAGGTTAAAAAAACTGTTTAAAATATGCAAGATAGTTAATTGTATTGGTAAAATAATATTACTAGTATACTGGTAGTGATATAATTATAATGAATACATCTTTATTTCACAACAGCCGCAGCTGTAACAAAGAGCTTTACAGAACAGTTAACGTAAAATAACAAAATACGGTATTATTGCCCCTCACTTTTCATAATGAGACATGGAAATGGGTTTGCATGAAACATGCGGTGAACCCGAGACAATCCAATACAGTATAGTACAGGCCTTCTCGGTTTACGACGATCCCACCTGACACACGACATCGTGAGATTACGAATGGTGTGCGCTGTCACGAGGTCCGTACGGTCAATTACGGCCGTAGTTACTGGTTTTCGTTTATTTCATGTTTATGGTGTTTCAAGTTTTTTTTTCACACAAGTATTTGGGTCAAGGGTAAGCAACATGGCACCAGGTACCCCCAAAGACCAAATAAGTTCCCCGTGGACCTGTTCTAAAATTAGGTCATCGTGCGTGGGACATTGTGATTTACTCGGAATGTTGTTCAAGTGATGATTTGAAAATATAATCCCTTGCAGAGACTATAGAAGTCGTGGAGCATATTGATATTTATCTTTTTCACGCTGTTGGTAAATATTGTGAGAACATCTTAACATGATCAGGGTATTTACATGCACGACATACAGAAGAGCCAGGTCATTGCTTAGGTTAAAAAAAAAATATTTAAAATATGCAAGATAGTTAATTGTATTGATAAAATAATATTACTTTTAATATTTAATTAATATTTTATTGTTATATATATACCGGTAGTTCTATAATTATAATGAATACAATACATCTTTATCTCACAACAGCTGCAGCTGTAACAAAGCGCTTTACAGAACAGTTAACGTAAAATAACAAAATACGGGAATATAACAAACCACATCACATAAGACATGGACAGCCATGCAATCATAACCATATTCGAGCGTACGCCTTGTTTTTTGAAGCAGTTATAGATGAAAGAGGAAAGAATCAAAATGTCCTTTTACCAGTGGGTCAAAGATTACAGAACAGTTAACGTAAAATAACAAAATACGGGAATATAACAAACCACATCACATAAGACATGGACAGCCATGCAATCATAACCATATTCGAGCATACGCCTTGTTTTCTGAAGCAGTTATAGATGAAAGATGAAAGAATCAAAATGTCCTTTTACCAGTGGGTCAAAGACATGCTCAAAATGTGCACACATCTGCTACAAGCTAAGGTTGAAAGCAAAAAAGAAGCATTGATGAACAAAGAGATTGGTTCACTTCTCCTGACCCATGTAAATTTGCTTCAATTCCAAGCGCCGACTCTCAGGTCCAAATCCGCATCCGCGCTCTATGCCAACGCTCCCTCTCTCCTCATGCTCAGCTCCAGCAGCCATCCATCCAGCCACACCAACACAGACTGTCTAACAGCACCAACATCGCCGCTGAACAAAGCGGGGCTGTGAAAAATGCTGTCCATTACAGGCGCAAAAAAACGCAAGTGCCCGGGGCTGTCCAGCGGCGACAGTCAAATAGCGCCGACATTCCTGCCCATCAAAATCAGTGCTGGCACATGCATGCTGCCAAGGAAGGCACAACCATCAAGCATAGATTATTCTTCTGCGATGAATATCATGGCCAAAACGCTGAAAACAGTCCACACGGAGAACAAACACCATATGACAAAATAAGAGACAAAAACAACAAAAAATCTCAGCTCTGACCATGTATTTTATGAACTGTATTTTAGACTTTATTTTCAATAATTCTATGTAAAAAAAAATATATTTGAGTTAAGTGAATACAAATATACTGCGATCTGCTGAAAACCAGTTCAGAGTGCACCCCACCTACTACCCCAAAATGGCTAGGATAGGCTCCAGCATGCCCGCGACCCTCATGAGGATAAGCAGTTCACATAACGGATGAATTAATGAGTACATAGATAAATGTAAACAACAAAAAAAGTACATTTTAACTCAACAATTTTAGCAAAAAAGCACAGCAAAATTAAATTAGTAAATATATACTGCAGTGAGGATCATATATACATGCTCAGTGGGCCAGAAGGAAGAAAGGAGCAGGGCGTGTGGTCAGCTATGCCATACTTTGCTCACTTCTGTTCAGTATATAAATTGTAGTTTTGTTTTGTTTTTGTACTCCACAGCAGTGACGTGCGTATCTTCACAGTTGTTGTCTTAGCTGTTGGCTGCTCTTATCTGCTGCCAACAGGACGAGGGTGCCTGCAGGAGGGATGGACGTGCACAGCAGTTGGACTGGACCACCAGATAAAGTACCTCAGAACGGCAGCCGGCCAGAGTCAGCCCCAATGTAGGCTGAATGTATCCTTGGGCTTGACAGTTGTTGGACACCATACTGTAGACTTTCTGGATAAAGCTGTACACCAAGCAGGGAAAGCCCAGCGGGAATGCGACACTAGCAGAGCTTCTTGATGGAGATAAAATGGCACTTTTCAAATGAAAAACAATATTGGTCTTAACTCACTTGCCTCACAATTCTGAGGTTCGAATCTTGGCTCTTGGCTTCCTGATGTTTGGAGTTTGCATGTTCTCCCTGTGTCAGATTATAAGACTAAACTTGTCCATCGATGAGAATGTGAGTGCAAGCGGTTGTCTGTCTTGACATAGTTGGCCACATTCAGTTTGGATAGGTTTCAGCTCACCTGCGACCCAAATGAGGACAAAAATAAAATATGGAAGAATGGCTCTAACTCGGATGTCAGAATTATTAACTATGACCGACAGTGGTTCTCAAACCTTTGAAGAAAGTACCATCATACTGACCAACATTAAAATATAGTAGCGTACCAGGCCCCTGTCTTCTTCAAATATAAAAGTTATCCATCCATCCATCCATCCTTTTTCAGAATGAAATCTTATCACCATGTTGAGCTAATTGACGGCTAATGACAAATTGAAAAATGTATACCTTGTTTCTGGACGAAATGACATGACACCGCTCGGCTTTTAATTTTCATTAGCATAAATAATGACAGTTTTGAGATAAATGAGCAGTTTCTATCCATGGAATCTCTTAACGGAGAATGCTCGGGAAGAAGACCTGTATGACAGCATGTCGTGGGTCATAAGAAGGCGCAAGCTCAGGTCTTTTCTGAGAATTGCCACAACAAAATTAACACCTTTGACATAAATAAGGGCGAGCAACAACACTGTTCCTACTAAAAGTGCATGCACGTATTAACAAAGACGTGTGCATATGGTATTGCTGCCCCGGCTCCCTTGTCAAATTTTGAAAATTGTATTTGTTTTCATGAAGGAACAAGAAAAAAAATACAACTAAATGTCAACTACTTCCTGTGAAGCCAGGCCAGAAAAGCCAGAGGATGTGCAAGTGGCACATAAAGCCTTCCAGGGGAGTGTTAACTTCCTCCCTTCCACATGCATGATGGCTTCTTCCCATTTAGGACACTTCAAGTCCAGATGCATGTGCATGATAGCAAGATGAGGCCCCCAGCATAGTAATAAAACTAGCTCGTTGGCACTGGATTACTTAGCAACACTTCCCATATTGTGAAAAAGCAAATGCTGCTCTTTTTTTTTCCACTGAGGCCATTTTTACAAATACATTCTTAAGTGTAAATGGAGCTGATGGGGACATAGGATTGAAAATAAATTTTTAAATTGCTCATATCCTAATAGCTGGGTTTCTGGTGCTGGTGTGGCTGCCCCCCTATCAAACATAAAAATAGAGAACCAAGTACAGATTCACATTAGCTAATAGCGTTAGCTTCTGATAAACTAATGTGAAATTGCCAACAGGGTGGAGGTGGGCTTTTGTGTTTAGTGATCTGCCTACGTGCCACGTGCTGTCTAACAAAAAATCGGCAGTACGACGGGAAGGATCAGTCACTTGGTGAGCATTATTTTCTTTGCAAATTTTGAAAAAAAATGCAAAAAAAAAAAAAAAGCATGTTCCTGTTTTTATGTGGTCATTCTTACGGAAACGTATCATGTCGATCGTTCTTCACAACACAAATACAAATTAAGGTTTTGCATCACCCTGATGTCACTCTTCCTTGTTACAATGTGACTTGTATTGTTGGGGGCTAACAAATAGTTAAGACAAGCTTTCGGAAAGCCATGTTCATCATGTCCAGAAGAGAGGATTGAAAAAAATCTTTTCAGATGAGGAACAAATGATGCTGAAACACTCCACCCCCCCATTCACCCATTCCACCCGAAATGAAACCAGGAGATTTTTTTGTAATAATTTCCTGTTGCTGAAGGATGTGTTACTGCCACTGCAACAGACCTCTTGTAATAACATTACTGTAAAATGTCCTTGATTAGTGGAGAAATAAAGATGGTTGGGACAAAGTACACTCTGGTCAAAGTGTTAATGCGTAAAAATGAAAACAACCACTTCCTGCTTCATCAAGAGCAGTCACAATGGCTTGTGTGGTTACGCAGTGTATGTTGTGGAAGCCTCAAGAGCGAAAACGTCCAAGGGCAAGTGAGGTGCCACCCTGAGGCCCCTTTAAAAATGCTCACTGAGGTGTGGTATAGTCTGATTGAAATACAACAGGCTGCGGAAATGAGTCATTGGATGAAATGGAATCTTTACTTACACTCACAATCCTCCAATAATCAGCATTTTCCCCGAAAAGAAAACACTGTCAGTGGAACATTGCAATCAAAAGGCTGTACAGTCATGCTAACTGCTTCCTGTGTTTGGGCAAAACAAAAGAAAGACCACTTGCAACATTCTTTGGTCACCTCATAGATTTTGGTTTGTTGCAAAAGTGGATCTTGTGAGAGAACAGTTTACTGTGAGTATTGATGATGGTGAGTAAGTCCAAATCTCTGAAGTGTATGCACCTGTAGTGTACTTTCTATCACTGTAAAATGTACAGTATCAGTAATGTATTACCAGTACTGTACAGTAGTTTGCTGCCAAGAACAGTGCTGAGCTCGACTGCCCTCTATTGGTATAACTAAGGGCCCAATATGGGACAACAAGCTGTCACTCTTTTTATAGCTTAAGCCTGAACGCATTATTATTATAAGTGACATGCACCCTCGTCACGTCTGTCAATTTGTGCATGGCACAAGAAATTTATGGAGACAAAGTGCTGGATAAAGGGAGGAGTGGACGATGAAAAAATTGACCAAACCAATATTTATTTTTCATTTTGTAATAATATTCCATTCACTTTTTTAAATAAATGATTTTAATTGTAGATACTTCAAGGGAAGTCTGTGTTTACTTGTAATATTGGCAAAATAGTACAAAATTTAATACTTTTTAAACCGGTCATTATTTACACACATCCATAACTACTGCAAATCACAATTATTGCACTCTACCTTTAGCGATGTCTTCCAAATGAATGTTCGCAGAACAGCGAGATATAAATCTGGGTTGGTTTAATGACAAATGACCTGAAAGCAATAATGCTTTACAATGTGATTGATTGATTGATGGTATTTGCATTTCAATGGAAAGTGCATATCCATTCTTCAAAAATAATGTATTTTATTGCGGAGAAATATCCATCCATTGTCGTCACGGGGTATTATAGACAATAGTCTCATGAAGAAATAAGTACTGTAATGTCGAGCATTTGTTTGGATTCAAGCATACAGCTCCATCAAAGCTAATGATTGTGCAGATTTTCCTCCGGGAGGCTTAGGCTTAATTGCCTGATTAAAGTCAACAACAAGAACGTGTTTATTGTGACTAACATTATAATACATTCGTATGATTTATTTTTAGACTACATATTTAGTGCTTTTGTTTTACAAATAATTACCATGTCAGTTTTAAATGCATATTTTCAAATTTACTTCGACAGGCATTTGTTGGACAGCACAAAACGGACATTCGCCTTCATAAAGCGTTTCTCCCATCTTCTAGCCGTCTCAGTTGTCGGTGAGGCCGGCGGGGCGGATCCCACAAGGAGTCAAAATTAAACTGAAAGCAACAAAGAACACCCGGAACAGCTTGGGCGTCTTGTGCACATTGCCATAAATCTCCCCGGTGGATATATATCTATATAAAAAAAAATAAAGGTGGGTAAAATTGCGTAATGAGGTTCGTGGAGGCAGCAAGCCCCCCGACCGGCTTGCTAAGCTAACACGCGCTGCGAGGCGTGTAAGCAGTGGGCGACCAGGCTAATGGCTAACGGGCTAGGCTAACGGTGGTGCGGACATTTTGGCAATCCTCACCGTTCACCGGGCAACTCGCCACAGTGAGGCAAAGATCCGAGAAAACCCATTTTATTTTTATATATTCTTGTTCAAACAGACAGTGTAAACCCAATCTATAAGAGTGCACATTTTTTTCCGCAATACTTGGCTGTTATTAGCGGTTAAGGTAACGGTGGCTTATGTTAAAAGCCTGCCTGCTTGGTTGGTTAAGTTGATCACATTAAGAGTAGAACCCGTTGTGTATTGCTCTGCCATTGGGAGCATTTTGCACACCAAAGTGCTTGACGACGGCAACACAAGCCCACTGTAACGTTCTCGTGACAGCCGTCTTCCCCATCAATATGAAGTATCTTCTTCCATCCCTTCTTTATTAAATGATAAAATAAAAAATATACACCTATTGTTAGTGTAACAGTGTCAACAATCAATTTTTGGCATTGTTTTCAGTTTGGAACTTCTTTAACGTTTCGCAGTCATGTTGCTTTTTCAATTTGGAAGGTTTCTTGGAAGTGTGAAGTCAGTGACGCAGTTTGGTTTTGTTTTGTTTTTTGTGTAATTTCTGAACTTGCTTAGATGCCCTCTGCGATGAAGGCCAATGGTACAGCTCAATCTGCCAGCCCGGATGTGGGATCCGCTCCAGGAGTCGTGGGCAGCCACGCGCTCAGCGGGCCATCTGAAGTCCTGAAGCAAGTGCTCCAAGTAATTGATAAGAAAGCACGCAACATGGAGAAGAAAAAGGTGAATGACGTGTGATCAGGCAAACACCCATTCTGGGTGGTAGAGTGTTTGTCTCCTTAAGCAGAGGTTTTGGGTTCGATCCCCCTACCCTTGTGACTATGTCAAAGTTTCCTCGAGCAAAATACTGAACCTCCACTTGCACCTGATGCTGTGCCATCAGTTGTCAATTCAAAGTCAGTGTGAATCGCTTGTAGTGCTTTAATAAGTGGAGAGGCACGACAAAAGTTAAAGACCATTTACTGGTGATAGTGTGATTTAAGGTGGACTATAAGGAGGTATAATGTCTCTTCATTTTATTACTTTAACAGGGTTTGATCCTGTGATCTTTTCCTTCCTGATTTCCTTCCTTGTTCCCTCAGTTTTTTTTCTCGTATCCTTACATAAATCTTTCCTTCATTGACACCTGTTTCACCCTATTTTGTTTCCTTTTCACCTCCTGCCTCCCTTCTCCTCAGACTTGCTTTTCCCCTGGCATTTTTTCCTCAACTGAATGCTTTTCTTTAAACATACTTTTTCCCCTTCTTTCAGTAAGACCTGGCTTTTATTCATGCATTCATACATCCTTTGTTCTTTGCTTCCCTCTTTCGGTACCCGTGCAACACAGCTTTAGAATCCACTTTGTTTTTGTCTTCACTTGAATAAATTCGGTTTTCTGACTTTCACAGAGCAAACTGGATGATTACAGAGTCCGAAAGGATAAAGGCGAGAGCCTTAACCAGGACCAGCTGGTGAGAATATCAACATTCATACACGTGTATATCATAACAGTAAGAATGACTCATTTTTCTTTCCTTTCTCATATCAGGAGGCCCTATGCAAATACCAGGAAGTCGTCAATAACTTGGAATTTGCCCGAGAGTTGCAGAAGACGTTCGTTGCTCTTGGTCAAGATGTGAGGATGGGGTTACGGGTTCTAAGGATTCCAGGATCTTTCTTCATCCCAGGAGTATGTATTGTAGGGTAAATCCCCATGTTTCTTGTGAATTTGTCCTTGTCATCAGATCCAGAAGGCGGTGAAGAAATCTGCCCGGCGAGAGCAGCTCCAACGGGACGAGGCGGGGCAGAGGAGGCTGAAGACGGTTCTGGAGCTACAATTCCTCCTGGACCGGCTGGGAGATGAGTTGGTGCGGCAGGACCTGAAGCAAGGCGCCATGCCACTTACAGATGTGGACCTGGCGGCCTTCGATGAGTTCTACAAGTTGGTGGGGCCAGACCGTGACCAAAAAATCAGGTTGGTAAACGTCTTACGACAATAGCATTCATTTTAAATTTTTTAACAAACTATTTCTTTAAGCTAATATTCTAATCCACTCAGGTTGGTTGACCAGTATGAGGAGGCGTCTGTCCACCTTTGGGACTTGCTGGAAGGCAAGGACAAGGCTGTGGTTGGCACAACATGTGAGTCCTCACTGGAAATTGAAAGCTGGGACAAAAAGTCATAGTAAATAGTCAAGCAGTTTATAAGATTTTAAATGAGCAACAACTGATGTATCTTGTTGGCAGGGGATACTGTATTATCAGATGAGTTTAGTCCAGATTAGATTGGATAGAGTGTCTTGCAACAGCTGCTGCCACCATTGTAGTGGAATTTATGTCTGTGTTTACAACGTACAAATGAGCACCACGTCTTTGACAAATATCAGCGTGGTTGACTCCATACCTGCTTTCTTCCGGGCTTTCCTCTTATATACACAAAACAATGTGATTATGATTGTTCTCATGTAGTCTGTTGCTTCGCAATCGTTTTCCTTTCCTTTGTTGCTGTGAGTCTTCATTTCAACTTTATTTATATGTATACACACACACGTATTCGCTACCTGCTAATATTTTCCCCGATTCAAGGTGACTGTGGCTTGTTAAGCCCAAAAAGTCCCTTGTATATTTGCTGCGGATCGGCGGTGGTTTGTATTCAAACCTGCATAAAATGTCCGGACCAGGGTGGGAAACGCACCGTGGTCCATTTAACGCGGACCAAACAGTGTAGGTGTGAATACACTTTAAGATCGAAGTGATCACCGTTTTTATATTTTGATGTTAACACTGACGTTTCCAATGTTAGTGTTAACATGTTTCCGAAAATGTGCTTGCATGGTTCCACTTGGATTGACTTTACTGTGTAATGGGAAAAGTTGTTTTGCAAGGGATGTGTTCAACCTCAAAGGTTCCACTATTCTTGGAAGAGTAAGGGAACAGTTTGTCTTGACTAGTATGCGCGGTACCATACCGTGAAATGATGAGGCGGGCTTAGGGATATTGGTGTCCCGCATTTCCAGGTCGCATTTTACTCGGGAGCGAGGGGACTATGAGCTTACTCTGACTCAGCAGTGGAGCATTCCGCCAGCGGCCTTATCACCTGTGGTTGGTTTCATTTCACTGGTTAGACCAGTGGCCGTACACTGGGGACGCAACGCAGGTCAATCAGTACTCCGTAG